GCGGGGGGAGAGCTTGGGAAAGGAGGGATGACAACAATAACGTCTTTATTTGGCAGCCAAAAACGCCAAACACTTCATCCCCACACCGTGCCCGCTAACGGAGTCACTTTAATAATGTTTCCTTCTGCTGCTGCTGCTGCTTCTGGAGGGAGATTGTTTGTCCTGTGTTTGGAAAACATGCCAAATTAGCAGAGAAAAAGGCGTGGAAAGCAGCCTTATGCAGGCCTGGGCTGGGCTGGACGGCTGGGTCCAGCACTGGCCTGTTGAATTCCTCCCACTAAGCGTCTGGCTTCTGACGCTGTCACTCCCTGGTGTTACATTCCAGCCCAGTCCCCAGCAGTGACAGCCCTTCCTGAGGCGGCTTCTCCGGAGGTCGCTGAGGGAGTAGGGTCTACTGTGCCTGCCAGATAACTTGGGGGTGCTTGCCAGAGGCTTGGTCTGAGCCCAGAAAGGGGAGAGTCTGGCCTGAGGTCACACGGCCAGGCAGAGGCAGAATTCAGGTTCAATGCGAGACCCAAGAGCGGGCCGTGTGGGCAGCGCTGGAATCTCCTTTCCGCTCTGTCTCACACCCAGGTGAGATTTGGAGTCACTGCACAGATTAGCGGGGAAACCCGTGTTTCCCCAAGGTCCACAGCCCAGGCAAGCATCATCGTGGCCTTTAAGGGTCTTCCTTAGTCTCAAGACCACAGCAGGCGTGTACTTCAGCAGCAGCCAGTGAAACTGCCTGTGGTGCCCGGTGATTGCAGGGAGATTTAATAGAATTTACTTCTGCGTCCTCAGCGCGTGGTGGGCTGCCAAGGCCCACAACAGGGGCCCCTTCCGCCCCTCCCTGGGCTCTGCCACCTGCAAGCTATGTGATTGGGACAAAGATAAGGAGGAGCTTGTTTCTTTGAGAGTAGCACAGGAATAACCTCTACTTCCCAGGGTTGGGGTGATTAATGACACTTTTTTTGTCATCCTAGAGACAGAACTGGGCCTTCATACTGAGCTAGATCCCTAGCCCCTTTTTAAAAAATTTCTTAATTCGAGACAGGTTCTTCTTAAAGTTCTAAGTTGCTCAGACTGGGCTGGGCTTGAACTTGCAATCCTCCTGCCTCAGCCTCCCTCACTGCCTCACACACGCTAAAGCCAGTGCTTTACCACCCGAGCTACATCTCCAGCCCTAATGAAGCCCTTTATAACCCAGAAGGACACTGGGTTGGAAAGGGATTATGGTGAGTAGTACTCAGACGAGCACAGGGAGATGGAAAATAAAACCTGCATCCTCTGTCCAAATCCTGTGCCTCCAACCCTGTCAGTGATGCCCGGATAGACGTCGGCAGGAGGGGTCCATGCAAGTGGGGTGCAGCTTGTACCCCTGGCATGGTGGGTAGTGGTAGAGGGCAAGACAGGGGAGCAGAACACACAGATGTATAGATGGGGTGGGTGGGCCCAGGGGATGGACAGCTGCAGGGAGTGTGGGGTGTGCACGGTGTCCCCGGCCCCCCCAAACCCCAGCAGTGTGTGTGCTTGGCCATGGTGACAGGCACTTTCCCAGCCCTTGTCAGGCGGTGACTCCGCCCTCCCCCATGGCCCCACCCCAGGCCACACTGATGGGGTTGGGATGGAGACCCAGACCTTTGGGAAAGTTTAGGGTGCAGTTTGCTAGTTGGTAGCCAATAGACTTTTTGTTTTGTTTTGTTTTGTTTTTTTGAGACAGGGTCTCACTATGTAGTGAGACTGACCTGGAACTCACTATGTAGCCCAGGCTGGTCTCAAACTCACAGCGATCCTCCTACCTCAGCCGCCCAAGTGCTGGGATTACAGACGTGCACCACCATGCCCGGCGCCAATAGGCTTTTTGACAGCACATTAATTAAAAAAAAACTTTTATCATGGAGATTTAAAAATGTGTACACATTTACACAGGAGAATATTAATAATAACCCCGTTACTTAACACCCAGCTTTGACCACAGCCCCAACTCATAGCTAGTCTTGTTTCTTTTGTGCCGACTCTCTCAAATATTGCTGTGTTTTATTTTTATTTTTAATTTTTTTGGTACTGGGGATCGAACACTGGTCCTTGCAGCGTGAGGCAGGCAGTGGAATCACTGAGCTAAATCTCCGGCCCTAGGTTTTTAAAAACAATGGATTTGGCATCGAAACTGTGGTTAAAGGGCACTCATTTTCATCTGTAAGATGGGAGATGCTAGGGGTGTAATGTGTGGCATGGTGACTGTAATTAGTAATCTTAATCATTTACTTGAAATTTACTGGACAAATATGTGTATTTGCTAACTTATACCTCAGTAAAGCTAGAAACAGAACAGAACAAAAATGACTTACCTGCCTATCCTTAACGACATCTGTCTATCGTTCTAGAGGCCACTGCTGAGAAGCGGAACGGATCAGGGACACCGTGAAGGAGAGGGGGTGAGGTCTTCCCAACAGACTTGCCTCTGTCCAGCAGGGCCCAGGGGGCAGGCTCCTGAGACCCAGTTCTGTCTCTTCCGCGCTGTGATGTGAAGACGCCCCCCCCCCGCACTTATCATTTGTGAAACACAAGTTTATGCTAAGTGGCCCCCGAGTTCTCTGCCAGCAACAGTGTGAAGGGGGCCTGGGATGCGGAGTCTCGACAGCTGGGTTAAACATCTGCTCCGTTGCTCTGGCTACCCAGCGAGCAGGTCTCATAGCAAGTCCGAGCCTCAGTTTCCTCATCTGCACTTGGCAGTGAGAATCCTGCGGTGCACCCAGGTGAGGTGAGGACTGCTGGCGGTGGCACCTTCAGTGATTCCCTAGTTTCATAAGCCAACCCCGGGGCCGTGTGGCTCCTCCTCAGAGAGTCTGGGGATACCCCGGGGGGAGTGTCACCTCAGGGGGGTATCCATCCCTTCCTGCTGGGGCCAGAGGACACCCACGGACCTGGAGTAGGTGCAGAGCGAGTGTCGGGGGTCAGATGTCCAGATGGCCATGGCTGCTGCCTGCCCCCAGGGGAGCCTGGGGTGGTGGCGGGTCGGCGGGGTGGGGTGGCGCTCCACCGCGAAGGATTTCCAGAGGCTGGAATCCACCAGGGCCTCACTGTTCCTCTGACCCTCACAGGAGCCACTGTCTTGGTTACAAGCGTCCAGGGCTTAGTGTGGGAGAAGAAAGGGCACATTGTGGGTGCCTCATCCACACTGTAGAAGGGAGGCGATTTGGGCGACGTGCCGGGAAGGGCAGGGTGGGCCCCAGGAGCCGGAGCTCAGACCGCCCATCGTCACCGGGCTCCACGGAGGCTGGGCCCGGCCGGACTCCCGCCCT